GTTAATTTTGATCATCTCGGAGAGATTTTGTGCTTTTCTACAGGTTATACCAGAGAATCTCTCTACAGACATGAAATTCTGATCTCTTAACTGAGGAGCTGCTGAATGGACCGCAGATGTGAAGGGATTGCTCTAGTCTATGTCTCAGAACATAAGTGAACTTTACACAGCACAGCATAGAGCTGAGGTAGCTGAGCTTTGTATTTCAAGTTTACTAGAAGCATAGATGCACCGCAATTCCCCATGAATCAGAAAAATCCCCAATCTTCTTCTTCTCCTTCCCCAAATGACTGTTCAGAAGCAGGGATATTTGGTGACTGTGACATTCCCTGAGATCCTGGCATTTAATCAACTTTCAGTATGCATCTCGGGTTCCTTCCTGCCAAAGGGGTTCCCTAGAGCCGCCAGATTTCACAGCTGCCTGTTGTGAAGCCAAGCTGTAAGGGGAATCAACCAGCCCAGAGGTTTAACCTGAGAGATGGAGCATGTGAAAAACCAGCTTTGGGATTTCTAGGTGCCCTGCTGTCTGGCAAAAATATTGGAAGCTTTGATGCCTAGTTTAAGCCAGTATTTCAGGGCTCCAAGATTACCTCCTGCGTGCCTGGGAGCTGCACTGCAGTTGAAACTTCTGCTTCCAGGATTTTATGGAGAATTTAACATCTCCAGAACTGCAAAGCTGCTCTGGATCCTCATGCATTGATAGGAAACCAGGCTCTTTGCACAGAGGTGTTCCTTGAAATGAGCCTTTGTCCAAGGTTCACTGCAGTCATGAGGAGTATTTCCATTAATAACTGTAGGAGGACAATCAGCGTTGGGTACAAGAAGGCCTGGCAGCTCTGAAGGGGTAGGCAAGCCCTGTGCTGAGAGTCATAACACAGCAGGCAGGGGCACAGCCCAAAGGTACCAAAGCAAGGAAAGCAGAGCAGGTCTGGTGACAACAACCAGGGTCAGCCCCAGTCCAGATCTCCAGGCAAATCCCTAGTAGAAGGTAGTCCCAAGGTCAAGTGGGAAGTCAAATCCAGGTCCCTGGGAGGGGAGCAAGGGCCGGAGTCTCAGCTTGACATCTGCTACTGAGCAAAAGGAGGGGGGCCTCTGCTGAGGCTTCTTAAAACCAGACACCTGCACCACGTCCAAACCAACCCTGAGCCTAGGCAGTCAAACCAGCAGGAGTGGTGGGATGTGCTCATCACTGTGACGAGTCAGGTTGCTCCCACACTGATCCTGTCCTATGCCACCTTCCTCCTTTCCCTTAGTCTACCCATTTGAAATTGCACAATGTTGCCTGCCTGTTGGGGAAGCCAGGAACAAAATATATTGCAGCTGTTTGTGTTATATTTAGCTATTAGCTACATTTATATGGTAATTCCAGCATAAAACATTGAATAAATACCATTCCACACACATGCCAAATTTAATAATTGTTAAGATTCACAGTAATAGAATGCTGCAGCAGGATAGATTAGGAATAAGCAATTAGATGTAGGGTTTTTTCTGCACAGGTTAGTTATTGGCTGCTCCAGATGGGTTAAATCAAAGAGGAAAAAAGCCACTCTGGGCCTCTGAATACTTTTGAGGCAACAATAAAAGGTATAGTAAGAGGCCTGGCTACAAGACTAGTCATTCATGCCTCCAGGTGACAAGCTAATGACAAACTACAGAAATAATCTGATTCTTTTCACATGAACATTTTTTTATCTGGAATATTTTTACTATAACTTTTTTTTTTTCTGCATTATGCAACTATTTCACTTTCCACCAACTGTGCTGGTTTTAAGTTGCACCATCTGGTTCTCTCTTCATCTGTCTCTAACCTGTGCCCCCTGCTTACTTCTGCTTTGGGTCAACTAATAGTGGTCTTGAAAGTCTTGATTTTGATATCTGAAACAGGATTAAGAGTGCACTTGCCGCACCCTACTCTATTAGCATTTAGTATACTTCAGTGAAAAAGGATTAATTTGAGAATTTCACTGAATTCTTGAGAAAGCCCCAAAAGTGCTGACCCAGATTTGGAACAAAATGTAGCCATTAACAGTATTTTAACAAGGATTATCTTATTATTGGACAATTTAAGGGAGTAGAAATAGGCCTCAAATTGCTCAGTTTAAATTCAATCCAGGACGACAATGACTTAAAATACTTTTCAACTGAAGCACTGTGATTGAGTGGGCTGAGCAGCCAGGTTTGTTGCTGAGTGGTGTCTACATTAGACAAGCCATGGAGCCCATTTGTACTGCATTCCTTTAAAAAGCTCTTAGCAGTCATGGATTGAACAAACACAGAGTCTCATTTAAGATGGCTCATCCATGTCAGAGATGAACAAAAAGTATCAATGTACCTGGATCATTACCCTTACCTATGCTGGAGCTCTTCTGTTGCTAAATGACTGAGGTGGCTCTTCAAGGATGAGTGACTGATAGTTTCCAACAGCAATAGATTCACAAGGAAGAAAAAGGATAAACAATGTCCTGAGGAGACTGTGATCCAGACCTCATACTGGCTCTGCCACAGGCTTGCTGTGTATCAGTAAATAACACCCCTCAGCTCTTACTGCCCCTACACTGCAAATTGCCTGCATACTGCTTTAGGTGTTCCTGGAGTAGAGGTCTGATTGCTGTTCAGTATGTGGATACTACAATAACAGTGACATAGTCTTGGGTTCTTACAGTATATTTTTGGGACCCTTTCTGTTACTGATACACCTCACCTTCACTATGCCTCTGCTTACAAGGATGATGATAACAAAGCCCCCAAATTAGAATTAAACCAGCTAATGGTTGTAGAGCACAACGAGCTTCTCAGTGAACAATATGCTCACATCAAGTGACAGCAGCAGGATTTTTGCTGATAATTACTTTTTTCCTTACAGCATTCCTTACCAATTTGTCTGAAACTATTGACACCAGGTGTAATGCATTCTCCCACTTCTCATTATATCACTTCAGGCTTCTTTTAAAGTTTTCTTTGCACTTATTGATTTAACAGGGATTTTATTTTTTTGTTGCTTTTCATCACAGGTGGCTAATGTTCCATTTCTGTCTGGCACATTGAGGATGAAATGTGATAATTAACTTAATACCCAGTTTAACTATACCAGTCTGCATTTAAATTGAAGCAAAAAGATGCATAAAAAGCTTCATGTTTGCCTCTTCAGTCCCTCTCATTATATGTAGTAGCTTGATAATTTTATTTCTATATAGTAATTATTTTCATGGTAATATCTTTTTGTGCATACAGTAATAATATTTTACTTGTTTCTTTGTCACTGAAAATTATCCTGGAGATTGCAGAGCAGACAAAATAGTTTCATCCTGTCACCGGCTGTGACTAATCTCACAGTGTTGTCTCCACTTTTGCTTTATGAATTTTGGCTCATTACCAGAAAGAAAGCTTAATAACAAAATATGCTAAATAATAGTTGACAAATGCTTGCCTGCTTTAGATAAAATGAAACATTTCTTCTTTTTTTTATGAAAAGGTAAGAGACTTCTGTGTGAAACTGTTCAGAATCATGTCTCAGAGCACTAAAGGTGTCGTTCATCACTGGGACACAGCTAGAGCTTCACTCAAAGGCTTAATAATGTTACCATATTCTGTCCCAAGGGGTTTATATCCCAGGAGCTCAAACGATTTTATGAAAAATAATTAATTATCCTCCACCATAGCTGCTGACAGGTAGGTCAAACATTTATCCACAGTTTTATAAGAGAAATTCAGACACTAACAGGTTGGTGATTCGTGAGGATCACACTGGTGAAGGTGTGAGGTGAGAATCCTGCACTGTGGCCTCCTCAGAGGCCTATATTTCCAGAGTATCCTCACACCCGTGCTCCACTATTTCAGGATTTCTAGGAAGTATGGTGTTATAATTGTGCCTTTTCCCTTGAAGCCTGCCTTAAAAATGCATACTCTTCAGAGGGGGCCAAAGTGGGTGGTATACTGCAGCTGTGTGGAGTTTTTGAGACCTGTGGACTCACCTATGTAAAGGGAACTGGCAGCTGTCAAAGGAGTTCCCTTAGTCTTTACCTGTTAGGAAATTAGGTTTAGAAAAGATGGAGATTCCATGCGAAAATTCTATTGTTCCTAAATAGTGCAGAAGTGAACATGTATAAAGTATGGATTTACTTCAGTTCCTTCTCCTTGGAAGACCATGCCTACCCCTCTAGAATTGGCTCTTCATTTCTTCCAGGACCACAGTGTCTCCATACACAGTTCTCTTATATCCTTACCTTCAAAATCCACCTTCTATGAATTGATTCCTTCCACCTTCAATGAACACAGTTCATAGCCCTGTTTCTCTCTGGATTAGAAGAGGTAATAGTATCAATTGTAGAGAAATAATCTTAGAAGGACTCTGGCCTTTACCAGTTGCCAAGTAATTACTACAAAGTGCTGTTTGTCTCTTAACTGATTTCAATGCCCTAGTGAGAACACTCAGCCCCTCGAAGGATTAGGCCCTGCATAATTTGTAATCACATCCTTGGGTCCTCTCTAGTGGGTCTGGGCTTTAGCTGTCAGTCAAGCTGAGATGGTGGAATGGCATGAAGAGTTGTAAGAATTAAAGATGGGAAACCTTCATCAGTTTACGTTGCCTGCACTTGCGCCAAGATAGGACTATTCAGAGTTGCAGGTAATTGCTTTGAGTGAGTTTTGTAGCAGTCTGTGGCTGTTCTTTCAAAGCCTGTAGTGATATCAATTAAGGAACAGCAGCCATAGCTATGTACTGGGTTGGGATTCCTTAGAGGTATGATATATTCTGACTAACAAAATGAATGTCACTTTGGCTTAGGGATTCTTTCATGTCAAAATGGTTACATTGAAAGTAATAAGCAAAACAAGAGAGAAACCAGTCAACGTAGCATTCAGCTAGAATATTCTTTACTACTTGCATTAATTACCCCATAGTCAGATAGCTCTGTGATTAAATTTCCATTCCTAAAAAAAACCATTAAGACAGTTTGACTAGCTTAATTCATTTTTTCTGCTTTCATACACAGATCAACTTGACATAATTTCAATGGCTGAAACAACAATGATGCCTGAGGAAATTGAGCTTGAGATGGCAAAGATCCAGAGACTTCGGGAAGTCTTAGTCAGAAGAGAATCAGAACTCAGGTTTATGTAAGTATCAATACTTCTGGGAAAACACTATGCAAAATTAATCAGAATAGGAAAG